CCTGTGACTTTTGCAAGGCACTGTATGTTCATGGAACATTATTTCATTCCAAGAAACTATTCCAAAGTGTATTTCTCTTTGTCCTTTAACCATGAATGTTTACTGTTCACCCAATGTACAGGGCAGCTGGCATGTTTAAATGTGAAAGCATGATAAAAAGAAAAAGAATGGAGTTACACAGTTTTAATTTGATGGCAACAGTATAGCTCTGCCATCTGCAAGTGAAAGTGAATTAATGCTGATTAAACATTTGTAAGATCTGGAGAGAAGCCCCATATTTCTTTCATTCTGTCTTTGTGAGGCTGTTATGATCGTGTTTAATGACTTGCAAAATCTCTGGCGTGGTCCCACATATTGAATGATTCACAGTTCCCCCAAATGAATTTCAGGAGAAACAGATCTAAGAGACAAGCTACAAAGGAAAACAAACGGAAGATACAATCAGGACCCACCATGAGCTCAAAAATCACATTCAAAGCAAATCACATACAAAAGAATAACAGGGAGAATCTGCCAACCGTCATCTTTTTTCTGTTTTCATTTCAGTACTTTTATGAACAGCTGCAGAAGTATGTGTTGTCCTTTGTTTTCCATCCTTTTTGGGGACCTATTCAATGACAATTCCGACATCTCGCTTGGTTCTAATAAGTAACAATACTTATTCAGGTTTATTCGGTATTGAGGGAATATATCCAAAAGTCTCCAGCACCTTCTAATTAGTGACCTTAGATACTTTAAAGGGGAATTCAATGGAATGTCTGCATAATTAAATCATTAAGATGTAAACAAAGTCATTCAGAGTGGTCTGATGTGAAATGCTCCATTTTAAAGAAACTTAGTGAGTCAGAGTCAGAAGTGGTGATAGGAACCAAACATCTAAAGCGTTTCTTGCTTATGAAAGGAAAGTTATTACATAAATGGTAATAGGTATGTTGGTTAATGCCCAAGACATTGTCTATTAATGGTTGTGGTTCTCTAATATTTATATCATATATATATGAATCACTTTTTTGCATCGCAATGAATAAAATAAACAGACGTTTTAGAAAAATTGGTGGACTTCCCCTTTCAGGTGCACCTCCTTGATGACACAGGTGTTCAATTGTGCAAACACAGTACAATCTCCATACAAAAGCACTGCCAATAGAATGCGATACTCTGGAACAGCCGCACATGAGGTCATCCTGCCAAAAGTGTTGGCTAGAGGGGAATAAAGCCCCCCAACATTGGCTGTGAAGTAATGGAACGGTTTTCTCTGGAGTGATGGAGCTCCATCCAGTATCTTTGAGATGAGTTGGAGTGGTGTTTATGATCTAGAACTAATCATCCAACATCTATATCTGGCCTCACTAATGTTCCTTATGGCTGAATGCAATCAAAACATCACAGCAAGGTTCTAACATCTAATGTAGGGGTTTCTGACCTTTTTCCTGTTTAAATAATATCTGTTTGCTGCTCGTTGAGGATCTAATTGATCTTTTCTTGATGGCTTAACTGGGGATTATTTGTTAGTTGAGGTTCATTGGTTCCAAAATACAAACATCCTCTGATGGCAGATCAGAATGTTATTACTGTGTTTTTGATTTAATAATAAAAATGTAATTATGTCATTTGGTTTACATCCAATTGACTTAAGGTGGTGATACTGAATAAGTTTTAGAGAAGAAGGGACAGAGAAGAACCTCACTATCAAAACGTACAATGCAAAGTGAGGCTGACTGTAATATAATAGTAATTAATAATATTTTAGGCTATATACATTACATAGTGTTATATTTTACCAAATATATTATGAAGCACAATATTATTAATTAATATATGATATGTTTCGTGAATGATAATGAATGCACAATAAATTACAAATTTCAGTTTTACCAAGTCAGTTTACCTTGTCTTGACTTGGATTCGACTACTAAAAAGTATTCAGGCTCAGTGTGTCCAGGTCTTCGTCTTGACTCTAGTGGGCTTGACTACATCACTACTAGCTAGTGTTCTGGTCATTGGAGCTGTAATTGGGCTAAATGTTGATTGAAACCCAAATATGCATAGGTCAATGCAAAAAAACCCAAACAGATAACAATACTGCAAGTGTGTGTGTGTGTGTGTGTGTGTGTGTGTGTGTGTGTGTGTGTGTGTGTGTGAGGGAGGTTGTGTGACAAAGAGAGAGAAAAAAGGCAGTGGGTATTTTGTTTAGCAGGACCCCATTATAAAATGGAGAGACACATCCATTGCTCTTTTTAAACCAAGACTGCTTCAAGTTCAGTTCCCATGAAATTGGCGCTGTAGTTGGAGCAAGGGTCTCTCCAGAGATCAGCCCACTGTAAATGGCTTCACTGCTGGCTGCCAAGTGCTCCTAGAGGCTGCTCACAGGATGCCTGCACAAAGACTGAGTGGCAATTCAATGGCCTGTCAGTGGACGACCTGCTGCCGTCACTGAGCTCCTCTCAGTTCATAAGAATTAAATGCCTGAAAATTCCTCCAAGCCACAATCAGTAATGTTGAAGTTACTTTGTTTACATCATAGCCTGGTATAATGTGCACAAGCCAGAGACCACCCTTCATTTATTTCATTTCCAGTCAAAACAGGAACAAGTTTTTAACAGAAAACTGCACAGAAGTTTTGAGTTAATTGAACTTCGAATATACCAAGAATCTGTATTTCATGAAGTTTAAATAACTCAGAATTTTAAGGAAGCCCAGTAACTAACTCTCAAAGATGAAAGCTTTGAATACTGCTTATCTGACGGTGACAGTGTTGGTGGTCTACCAGGTCTTGCACAGTTAAAAGGAGTCATTGCACAGTTATAAGGAGTAATTTTCTCTAGATCTTTAATAACTCCAGATTTGGAATCCCCTGTTTGTTCACTTATTTTTCTTTGACTTTCCTCTTCCTTATGCAAGTGGATTATCTTATATGTAATCTCTTCAGAAATATCTCCTAAAAAGTGAATAGCTTGTGCTTAATGGCCGTTTTGACTGGAAATTCTTTTAAGATGCCTCAGCAAATTTCTTCGTCACTTTCTGTGAAGTTTTGATTCTACCGTTTACATAGTGCATAGTTGAAGATTAACCTAGATTAGTATCCACTGTGATGTAGTGGGCAGATAATACAAAGGACTCTGCAGATGTAGTGTAGTTTGGGCCTACGATGACACATGGATGTATGACGTATAGTAACTCATTTTCAGCTGACCTGTTTAAAGCAGAGTTTGAAGGAAGTTAATATCTGAAGTGGCTGTAAAATTATGTTGACTTGATTTCAAATGGAAAAACTTGCATTTTTCCACAAAAACATGTTATTCTCAGTTATAAAAGTTTTAAGAAGTAATTCTAGAGTAAGATGCAGACCAAAAATTATCCCTCATACACTCTTGAAAAGATGTTTTTTCAAGGGTTCTTTAGTAAAGGGTATGGTTCCATAAGTTCCATATAGAACCATTTCATACTTAAATGGTTCTTTGCATGGTGAAATCGTTCTTCAGATTGATGGAAAATGTGTTGTATATGATTCTATATAGCACCAAAAAGGGTTCTTCTATGGTTATGAAGTCAAGCTTGTCAGAATCAGAATCCCTTTATTTCACCAAGTATGTTACACATACAAGGAATTTGTCTCAGTGAGTGCACACATGTATGACATATAACAATAGAAGAAGTGTATACAGAGCTAATGGTTCTGAACAGAACCATTCTCTTTACTAAAGAACCTTTGAAAAATCATCCATTTTTAGGAGTGTAGGCTTCAACTGGGCATTAAAGCTGTATTTAGTTTTGTATTCAAAATAGTAATGCACAGCCACAACTCTACAGGAATCCTGTAGAAATTCATTTAGCATTGCTACAGATCTTTTTCATAGGGCCAGCCATAAGACAGAAATGATGGCACAACACCCAGAAAATGTTGTGTTGCTGCATTAACAGAATGTTCAATTTTCTAAAAACAATGTTGCTTTACAAAACAATGTTGTACTTTTTCTATGTCCTGCCCTGCGTTCTATGGAGTTTAAAGCAAACATTTTACATAAGCATGTTTAAAAAATTCTGAAAACTGGTTTTGTGTGAACGCACCCTTTGAAGGGCCCATATAATTACTTTTTTTCTGAAAGAGTTTGATGTTAAAGTTTCATTCACTTCCCAGTCCATACAGTCCATATATGGAAATCACACTGATAAAAACAGCTCATTTTCTATTCATTGTTTTTGTGATGCCAGGAGAACCAACTCATTTACATATATCCATCTATTCAGCCTACAGCAGTTTAGCCCCGCCCATTCATGCTATAGGGAGTGTTTCAATCTAAACTGCTTTATTGATAAGGCACAATACATGGCAGCCAGTCAGAACAGAGCTCATTTACTTATATCAGTCTTAAAGGCACAGTTCTTGTACTTTGTCTACAATATTTGTGTTGTCTTATGCATCAAAAACATAATTCATTTTCATATGACAGCTTTCCAAGTGGATAAACAAGCTGTTTTGTTTACGACTGATCTAACCCTCTGCTCTGATTGGCTTCCCTGTATTGTGCCTTGTTTATAAAAAGCAGTCCAGGTTGAAAAAATCCCTATAACCTCAGCGTGAGTGGGCGGGGCTAAACTGCTGCAGCCTGAATATGTAAATACTTCGGTGTTTGTGACCTTACAAGCTTTTTGCAGCTTAGTATCCACATGTGAACTGTATGAACAGCGTGAATTATATGTTTTCAAACTTTAACAATGTGTCTACATCTAACTCTAATTTGATTGTCCACTGGCCCTTTAATGTAAAGGATAAAGAGAGGCTGGACAATGGCCATGCAGAACGTATTATGGCAAAGGTGCTTAAAACCACACAAATATTACAAGTGGACTTAAGGGGGGGAATCAAATACAAGGGGAAATGTATAATATGGGCCTTTAATGCCTCATCCGTATTCGTCACGAGTCTCTATCAAGATAAAGAGAACGAAATCAGCGTTTTCAGGCGTTTCAAGCCCACCTCACTCCACATCTGCACTCAATACCCTCCTGAATGGCTTGTTTACCACATCTACGCCTGACTTCTCAGAGGCTCATTCCGGTCTGAGTGTGGATGAGGCGAGCTCGGCCATAATCCGTCCTCCCAAAGCTACTTCTCTTCCAAACAGCTACTTCTTTCCTCCTCTGACGGGAGGTGGGGCTTTCGCCCTTCAAAACTTCTCCAGCTTCGCTGCGTCGCAGAGCTGAGCTGATGCAGCCCGAGCAGACGAGCTTTCCGCGCTCCCGCTAACGCAGCTCCTTCACTCGAGCTCCCTCCGCTTAGCCGTGAATGCGTGTGGATATAAACTAATACGGACCCGGAGGCTTTGAAAACTGAGCTGCTGGAGTGCAAACACGCAAGAGAAAAGCCCGAGAAGAGCATCACGATGCGAGCGATAAACCTGGACACCTACAGCCTGTCCCTGCTGACCGCCAAAGAGGACATCCTGAACGCCAAGGCATCGACCAACTGGTACAGTAACCTTAACCTCTGGTGCTGCTTTTAGTCTTTAATCTAATGTAGTGGTCACCCAGCTTTCCCCTACTAAAGTTCAGTTCCAGCTCTGATCTGCTAAAGCTTGTTATAATCTTCAGAAAACATGGTAGGTCTGAGTTGCTGCGTATCGAAATTCAGTACTTTTACGGATTCGACCGAAGTACATAAACAGTACCGAGTATCGAATGATTCAGTCCCTGATTTCAGTGCGTTACTGTCGATACCTCAGTCTGAGTCACTGATCAGCCTCAGTGAGCCAGCAAACACGTCTGTTACCAAAGTGTTGACTGCACTGTAGACCCTGATAAGTTGAGCTCACTCCAGTGAAATAAGCTTTGAAACTTAGCTTGTCTTTTAAGAAGTTGAATACACTCAAAAGTTCCACAAAGAAAGTGTAAGTACACATCACACAGATCATACTGCAGCAGAAACGTGAGCAATTAAGTCCAAGTGACTGCATCGTTATTTAATTTGCTCATTTTCACAGCATGTAAAACATTGAAATGTAAAAGCAAACTCTTTTAAAAATAGTCCAAAAGACCAATTTTGAGAAAAACTACTAAGTTGGCAGTGATTTACATTGATTTTGTTCAAGTCAAGCTGACTAAACAGATTCATGGGTAGGAAACCTAAAACATGCTAAGCATACATTTAACCTATGTGTAATATATGAATGTGTTGTTTGTTTGAAAACGTCATCTGAAGGAAAAATGAGAGTTGATCAACAGAAATCAAAACAACATCTGGAGGGAAATTAAGAGTTAATAAACAGAAATCAACTAACCCACTACAAACTCTGGGTGACTCCACCCCATATTCATGTCTTGCATGAGTTTGTTCTACTCATTAAATAAGTACACTTGTATTTTCAAACAGACAATACAAACAGCTTGCCTGGATTAAGTGATAACAACTAATTGCAAGAAAATAAGTAATCATAACTTGATTATTGAAGTCTAAATAACGTTAGGGCCTTCAGTGAGCTGACTGGCTGTTTGAATTACATTCTGAATACAAATTAAACGAAGATTTGTACAATTCATTTTTGTAACAATAGATGTTTTACTACAGATCTACATATATAAACCCTTAAAATGCTTCTTCCATGCTTATTTAGTAAAGGCAATAGTTTTAAAAGCATGAACACTCAAAGAGCCGTGTTAATGCATTAATGGTTCTTTGCATGGTTAAATGATTCTTCTCTATACCTGATGTATATGTTTTTTAAAAAAATGGTTCTGTGTAGCACTAAAAAGGGTTCTGCTATTGTTACAAGTCTTACAACCTGTTTTTGGTACAACATAGTTTTTGTAAGAGTGAAGGGTCATTTTTCTGGTCAGGGAGTAAGCCTAGCCCTGGACCCTCTCCGTTCAGTATACTATGCAGTCCAGGACTAGACTTAAAGGGGACTTCCACCCATTTTTCAAAATTCCTGCAGATTTAAATCATTAAGATTTAAACAAAGTCAGTCAGAGTGGTTTGGTGTGAAATGAACTGTTCTAGAGAAACTTACTGAGTCAGCTGAGTTTACAGTGGTGGTAATAGGAACCAGACGTCTGAAAAGTGTAATGCCTCTAATTGCTACATCCCAGAAAGTTATTACATTAAATGGTTAGAATACAATGCCTGATGCCTGAGACATTAAAGTAGTTTTGTGATAATATTTTATACTAAAACTTTTTTTTTTCATGGCAGAGGGGTACATGCAGGGTAGTGTTAGGCGAAATGGTGCCCAAAGACAACTTAACACTGATTTACCACTGTTTTAAAATTATCAACATTACGCACAAAACAAGGCAGACTCATGTAGGTTCACTGGTGGTTTTGGATAGTGAATAAAATGGCTATATTTGCATTGTAGACATTGCAACACCTGGTGATAGGAGTATCACCATCACTGTAAAGAGATCTGAGTTGGGAAGCTTCTCTACATTGTATCATTTCACATCAGACCACTCTGAGTGACTTTGTTTACATTTCAACCACGAAATTATACAGAAAATCTGAAACATTGGTGGCATTCCCCTTTAATAGCTGTCTAGGAAAGTGAGCCAAAATGCTTTTGTGTATTTAAAAGTTGTATTTTAAAAAAATATTGTTCAGAATGAATATCAATACATTACCCAAACAGAAGTTGGAGCTGAACTTGAATGGTAGTAGGTTTGGTGATCACTGCATTAATCCACAGTTGAGCATGCTAACATTACTGCACAGCTAGGTTTCTTTTTTCTTCATGTCTGTTGCATTGCGCAAGCTAAAGGTGAAAAAGGCCATAATGCACAAATACCACTGCATTAGAGTGACCATAGAGTCAGCAAATAAGGACAGAAAAATATGTTATAAGCAAGTACTGTTTTGGAGCAAAGTGGGAAAGACTCTCATGAAAACCAACTATAGTAATGCTACAGGGATTTCTATAGGATTCCTTTATGTATCTTGAGCTGAACTGAGACAATTGCTGTAGTTTAGAATGTTCTACAGATTATTATAGAAGTATTATACAACACTATAGATGTCTTGTAGCTTCTTATTGTATTACTACAGTTCCTTTTGTATCAACTGTTCAGTCAGGCAGCTATTTTATTACTGTTATGTCTACGTGGTTTCATAATGTGCACTAGTTTGACAGTGAGCTTTAGAAGCATATGAATGCTGGGTGGCTGCTGCGGCACTTAGGAGGACGTTTACGGGAACAGTTATCTGTGGCTGCTTGGTTTGACTGTTTTTTGGATAGGAGGGGATGCACATGGTGCAAATGAGTTCTAGGCGAGGGGTGGCATACATTATGGGATGCAGCATGGGGAATTACTTAGAAGGGGTTATTTAAAAGGGGTTATTTTTGTGGTGTGAGAGAGAAAGAGAGGATACTGTCATTCTCAGAAAAAAGTTATATCTTAGTTATATCTATTTTTGTTGTTTTAATTTTTTTTACAGAATTTGAAGGTGCAAGCTGCCTCTTACATTGTGTTACACTTTCCTGAAGACTGGACTAATAGAAATGTTCCAAAATGACTTGGAAAAAAATCCATTAACTTCCATTCAAACTTAAGGTTGTTTTTTCCTTCTCCTGTAAAGTTACCATTTTGGAGATACAAGCTTGATTGTGTTTATGTTAGGGCTAAGAGTAGGTCTGTCACAATCATAACATTTAGCTGAGCATTATTTGTCATTTAAATAATTATGATTAATGATTTAATTGTCTTTTTTTGATTGCATGCATCAGTTAAAGGGACTAAATTTGCCATCCTGTTTCCTAGTTATGGTCACTTGGTAGCTAACACTGGTAGATGAACTGATACACCACGCTGTTTGGTGCACACACACACTCTTACACAAGTGTCTCAGTTACACAGACTTGTGGGTAGTCAAGCAAAGCCTATATTTTTTCTTAGGAGTGAAAATAGAAGCCAAACAAAACCTCATTCTGTTAACTTGCATGCTAAAACATTAGTTACAGCTAACAAATAAAGAAATATTACTTGTGCTGCCCTCCAAATATGTTAAGAAAGTTAGAACTTGTTAACGTAAGTTGCATGATGTGTCTCAAAGATTGCATTTACAGCTTTGTTGTGGCTTAATTTTGCTGTGAAAAGTAATAACTGTGGAAAATAACTGCAGCCAGCTTGAGTAAGTGTAGTCATCTCAAATAACTGCAATTGGGCAGTTATGTAATAATTGTGACAGGTCTAGCTAAGATATCGGACAACATATCGTATTGTGATTATATCATGATCATGCCAAACCTTTCAATATATTGGTGAACCTCTGATGGGACATGTCATTTTATTAGACTGAGTTATTGTGACCAAATTTGCATGGTTGTAACTGCATTGATTGAGCAGAACACCCACAGAAACATTCATCAGGAACACCTGTGATTGATTAGTTGCTCACAGTATCACAATAAACAGTTCTGGGATTGGTTGCAGGGCTCTTCAGCATATTGCAGCGTTCCATGATATCAGCATTGCAAGGGCCAACAGTGTGATAACAACTGATTTTGTGCAGCTCTAGTCTACATGTTGGCTTGTTTGTGTTCGCTTCTGGATTTACTCATAGCTCTGCACGATGACAGTACAGCAATGACATCATCTTATGCGGTCTGCCCATGTGCACATATATAGACTGTGCCTGCTTGGGGTTAGGCTCATTAGCTTAGATCTTGCCTATTACCTCTGTCTTTCATCTCCCGTCGCTGTTTTCTGACCTGCTATTAACTTATGTAGGTTGTTATCATAGCTCATTATGCGTAAGCCTACAGCTGCTCACTGATTTGAATGACTCTTTTTCGTGGGCTTTCATGCCATGAAATGCAAACTGTATTGAATCAGTTGAAGTCAGCATTAAAAGGCTTATTCCATGCCACTTTACCTGCTATAGTATTAACCTGCAGGATTTAGCAGTAGGGCCTAATACAGCCTGTTGAAGTTTCTCAACTATAAGTCTTCTGCAACAAACTCTAATTTAAAGAAGTAATCCTAACCTTTTGATTTATCCTATGAAACCGAATGTCTCGCTAGCGATATGTTCAGAGACTTGGGCGTGATGTGCATATTCATGTTGGTCATAGTACAACATGTATCAATATGAGTAAATGGAGCTTTCTTAGGGCTGAACAATTAATCGCTTTTATATTGAAATCGCAATACGAAAGTGCAGTTTTCAAATCACAAACACTGCAATTTTAATCATATCCTATATTATTTAATACATTTTAAGAGGAGAAATTTAACCTAGTAACACAGAACCTGTGAACTGGCGGTCTGGCACACTACATTCAGCATTGCGGTCAGAAAAAATTGGTCTTCTTGGTGGAAAATTGGTGCCTGGACATTAATTTATAGAAAATAATTGCCTTTAAATTGCAATTTAAAAGTTATAATTAGATATTTTCCCCAAATTGTTCAGCCAAAAGCTTTCTGTGTGCTACACTGTTGTCTATTCAGTGTATATTACAGTATACAGTATAGTGTCAC